TCCCCCCGCCGGAGAGGAACTTGGCCGCGAAACTTGGCGGGCGGGTCGCAAACAGCAGAAGTTTGGTGTTGGGGCTGCCGGGCGCCTTCCCCTCGCCAGGGCAGATAGGGCATTGCCGTAAGCGCAGCTGCGGGGCTCTAGGCGTGGAAGTGACTTGGAATCGCGATGGCACGGAGGTGTGACAGCACGCGTGGGCTTCCGACCCTGCCCGCCAGCGCGCTTGCGGCAGGTCTTTTCCTAGTGACGAGTTGTAGTGTTTGGCGTGAGTCTGTTTTGTTTTTAAGGGCTTACGGTTGATACTTTCTGGAAGGGTGAGCGCTGATTTTTCAGTCTGCCGTTCAATATTGGCCTTATTACGCATGTGGTGTTTTCCTAATTCTATCTTATTCTGTGGCTCTTCTTCCATAAAATGTCTGCGAGATGTATTTCTTGACCAAAGCGGTCCAGTGTATGTTATCTACCATATCTGTGATCAAACCCTTGGTGTAATCGAAGTAGTGTTAATTTCAGTGCAATAGGAAAGTTTACTGACATGAAGATGCAATTCCAGACAAACGTCAGAAGAAGATTTTAAGGTAGTTAGTGGGGGGATTGCTTTCAGCGTCTAGCATACTGATGTATGGTGTGGTAGGTACTCTCTGACTTCTAAAGTAGAAGTAGATCCTCTTTTAGTTTTGTAAAACTACTTCCTGTCTGAAGCAACTTGGTTGAGGGTAAGCTGTACATGATCAACACATGGTAGAAGAAATCAAGAGTAACAGCTTATTTAACCCTGCCTGGGCTGATTAGGCCAGAATCATGATAAAATCGGTGTGACTTGCAGGGAAGCCTGGCTTCAAATGAGAAAGCAGCTTTTAGCTTATTCTGTTTAAAGTTACTTCTTAAAAGATTTCAGGGAAGATGATGTAACTTTGATCTCCTTTTGTCAAAACTGGCCTAGGTCAGTGTTGCCACGGCTGTTTACAAAACTTGTCAATACTGAAGAAGGAAAATGGTAAATATAGTTGTCATTTAATCTCTTGCAGGAGGTCAGTGCCTGCACTACTTCAGACTAATTAGCACGGGATTAATGGATCATCTCTCTAGTATCCAAATAAGCACAGCAAACTTTGATTGCCCTTGATGATTCATGCTTGTTGGGATAGCTGTAGTTTTTTTGTTTTAAGTGCTAACTGTACCTCACAGCCTGTTTAACTCTGGCATTAGGAACTTCTCATTGACTGACTGCAATTGTTCATATGGATGCAGAGCCAATGGTGTGTCGAGTTAGAGGTCTGCGGTGAGAGCCACGGTGCTTACTGCAGCTTCAGAGAACTGATGCATCCAGTGGGCTGCATCTGCTTACATACTCTTAAAAGTATTCTAGCGTTTGTCTCCTGAAATCTTACTTTTAATTGATAATGCTAGTAGCCATTAGATGGCCTGCAGAACCAACGTAGAAAAAGCTCTAAAGCTCCCTGGATTTGCAGTCTTGGGTTTAGTTTAGGATTATTTTAAGTTTCTTGCTGCACGTTGAAGTTTATCCAAACATGAGCCTCTCTCCTCTTTTCTCCTCTGGAGCTATGAGCCTCTGATTTAAATGGATACTGCCAGGTTGACACAACCTCATGATACTAAGTTGGGCCCTAAGTTTTAATGTTGCTTTAATATTGCATTCTTACATTCCATTATTTTTTTCTTCCTCCTCTTTGCTACTCCAGCAAGTGTCACTGGCAAGAAGAAACTGTCTGTAGAATGGAGGGAAGAAACTTTTGTTATACCAAGTGCTGGCACATACAGACAAAAAAAATGAAAATATACTAATTCAAATTGCTTTATGTGCAGTGTCAAATGAGGCTGTGATAGATTTTTTTTTCCTAAAAGTCTGTTTAATCTTGTCAACATGGTATCTCAGTCTAACACTTTGAAGAAATTAACTAAAGATTAGAGTGACTAGCTTGCATCTGAGTACTTTCTTAAGCCTCTAATAATTTCTTCCATATAAATAAGCGCAGCTTCTTCTGAAGCTGTTACTTTTGTCCAAATATATTACCTTCTCCTCCACATCTATTAAGAGACTATACCTGTCCTTATGCTTGTTCCTTACTGTTCTTTTTAGAAGAATGCCTAAACTTTTTCTCATTCTTTGTGTTAGAACTTGAAATTTGCCAAAATTGTGCTCCAGTTGAAAAGTATTTCACTGTTAACAGCAGTGATGTGTTCATGATATAAAGGATATGACAAAATTGTTTTTGTCTATATGGAAATATGTTTTTAATTTAGTTTAGAATAAATATATCCTTTCCTCCATTTCCAGATTGCATCAATTTTCAGAGAAAATTGGGAGTTTATTTCCTGAATGTAGCAAGGGTGACTATCATTAACTTTTGAACTTTAAATCTATAATGAAAAAGTGTGGCTGTTCTTACCATAAATGGTAATAGGAATCTATATATAAATATTTATATTCCTACTGCCATACGAGATATATATATATATAGAAAGAGAGAGAGAGATAGGAAAATAGACTATGTAAATAACTGTATTCCATCTTGGGAGTTCTGTCAAGTTCCTAAACTACAGTCATAAACAAACATCACTACAATTTTGAGAACGAAATGTAGCATTAACGTATATATGCTTTAGGGAATACATTGTTGTTTTGTACCTGGAAGAGTAGAGCTGTTGAAAAGCCATAAGCTGCTTGGAACACTTTCATTTGCAACCTTGGAAAACTATGTAAGATTTTTCTGCCCTGTCAGAAAGCCTTCCCAACTATAGTACACCTGAAAGGATACTGCAGTGAATGATAAGGTATATCTCATACATATTTATTTGGCTTTCATAGGGCCTCCGGCAAGCCTTTTCCAGCCACCCCGTCGCCCTGGCCTGGGAACTGTTGGGAAACCCATCCGCCTCTTAGCCAATCATTTTCAGGTTCAGATCCCTAAGATTGATGTTTATCACTATGATGTAGATATCAAACCAGAAAAGCGCCCCCGAAGAGTGAACAGGTATGAATCATTTAATACAAAAAGTTTAGATTCCTCAGTTTAAGGCAACTGTACACCCTAGAAATTTTTCATCTGCTAAAGAACAGTGTATATATGTTCTGTGCTTAGGAGTTGCCTTATCTTTCCAAGAGGTATATTATCCTCCTCCTTATTTTTATTAAGATTTTTGCAATTGGATTGCCATATAGAAGGCACTCAGAAATGTATTATAAAGAAGAATCTTGCCTTAAACTAAAGCTATTTTTATTCTCTAGTCTACAAGTGAATATCCCTGCAATCCATTACACAAAGATGTCTGTTAGCAGCTGAGGGGAGGAATTCAGCTTAGAGATTGACACCAACGTTTTTAGGTGTCCATACATGGTTATTTTGTCAGTGTAGTCAATTTAATCTGTAGAACACCCCAGCTAACCCGAAGATAGATGCTTGTATTTGCTCCTATATTTGTACAGCTCTCCGCGTTCCACTGTCTGTATTCACTACATCTCTGCTGACGGTAATGGGAGCTTAGACACCTGCATATGTGTTGAAACGTAGGCGTCCTAATCTGGAGGGCGCTCTTATTCTTGGTGTCTGCTAAAAACTTGGGTATAGTCTAGTGCCTCGTTGTTTCAGATACTCAGCTCCTTTAAGAAAACATGAATGCGGAATTTTAAATTGGTGTAAGATCATTACTGAATTTTGCTAGGCTCCAACCTAACTGAATACCTCCCTCTGTAGAGAAGTGGTGGATACTATGGTGCGACACTTCAAAATGCAGATATTTGGTGATCGGCAGCCTGGATACGATGGGAAAAGGAACATGTATACCGCGCACCCGTTACCTATTGGCCGGGATAGAGTAAGTGTTATGAGCAGTACTAAGTTTTTTATTGAAAAAATGTTAGTGCAGTTTGAAAAGTGATCATAAAGCTAAGATGCTGTTACATGTATTAGTGTAGCTTTGGAAATTACAGGCAGTGCCAGGGAGGGTTCCCTCAGAAATAAGGTGCTCTGCTGAAGTTTGTCATCTTCAGGTTTCTAATTCCCAGGTCTTTTGTCAATGCGCTTGTCTGTGATAGCGTGAACTATTACATTGCGGTTTTTCATCTGCAAGGAAATTTTTACACCCTGGTGCAAACTTACTTTTTCTCTGTTATAACACTTTTTCTGTTGCTAAATGATAAAGTAGTTGTAGTTGACAAATACGGTGTTCTGGTTTGGCTGCACTGTAGAGATATGTCCTCATGTTCCACAAGAACTTACGACACAAGTGCTGTCAACAGCCAAATCAGCTGCATTAGCCCTTAATGTGCTGGGCCATACTCCCCAGCATGTTCTGACATGTTCTACTCGTGTTCTGACAGATTGAAATATGTATTAAAAGGTCCTGATACAAAATGTAAATAACCCCCATTTACTCTTCTCCCCAGGGATCTGGTTATTGCTGGTACAGTGCCATGAGGAGTACATAGGATGAGTTCACATTTACCCTTTGGGTTAATGGTGTGTGAGAATAATTTTAAGTACTGTGCTAAAACTCTGAAATTTGCGTTTCCCAATGATTGTCCCTTTTGACCGAAAGGGGTTTCTTGCCCTCCTGTTAAGGACATAGAACATCATCTTGCTATCAACTGGCTGACGTTTTAAAAAAAAAAAAAAAAGACTCTCAGTTCTCCAGAGCTTTGATGTTATCATACTAATAATTACTGCTTAAAATTTACACGTAAAGGTACCTCAGTGCAGTTTCCTCAGATGAATAAATTAAAAGCTTTCAAAATCCCAAGGAAACTAACTGATTGCAACATTTTAAGAGAATTATGCAAACTAATCATCACAAATGTAGATTCAAAGGATATCCAAGAGAAAAACATAATGTTGCTTAGCCTTGTGGTAGTCTTCAGTCCATCACAGAAGTTTGTGCTTAATTTTATTCTGCCTATGTAAGGTGGATATGGAGGTGACACTTCCAGGAGAGGGGAAGGACCAGACGTTTAAAGTATCCATTCAGTGGGTGTCAGTAGTCAGCCTTCAGTTGCTGCTGGAAGCTCTGGCAGGGCATTTGAATGAAGTTCCTGAAGATTCTGTACAGGCACTTGATGTGATCACACGGCATCTTCCCTCCATGAGGTGGGTACTTTTGGTATCTTCTTTCTTGGTTTAGTCTTGTATCTGTCTTGCGTTTTCATTAGTTATTACTTGCTGCTATTCTACTGCTTCTACTGTAGAAGGCATGAGGAATGCTGTTGTGTAATTTAATGCCTGCCTTACAAATTTGCAGTAGAGTAAGGAAATCTGATCTCAGCTCAGGACTCGTATGTGCTGGTCATGTTTCTAATGGTAACTTACTGTGGCCTTTCCAGCTGTTCTGTCTGTGAAGTTTTCTGTATGCTGGCCAAAAGTTAGCTATAACAGTTCTAATGTACTGGAGAAATGTGGTGTTCTAAACACTATAGGAATGAGTGTAAAAGCATGCATTAGAAAAGGATGATCAGAGTTTTAACTTTTTAATTTGTTCAGGTACACTCCTGTGGGTCGCTCCTTCTTCTCCCCTCCTGAGGGTTATTACCACCCTCTGGGAGGTGGCAGGGAGGTCTGGTTTGGTTTCCACCAGTCCGTAAGGCCTGCCATGTGGAACATGATGCTCAACATTGACGGTATGTCGAAACTTCTGTCTCAGTTATGTAACAGAGTTCTTGCTGCTTCTAGATTAAATGTCCTCTTTTTTTATCTTAGTGTCAGCAACTGCTTTCTATCGCGCCCAGCCTATCATTGAGTTCATGTGCGAGGTCTTGGACATTCAGAACATCAATGAACAAACCAAACCTCTTACAGACTCCCAACGTGTCAAGTTTACCAAAGAAATCAGAGGTAAAGGCCTGTTTTATAGCCCCTGCAAGAAAATACTGGAAACCTGTCAATGTTATACTGTAGTGAAAATTCACAGGCTTTCTGGAAGCTGGCCTGTTCCTTTTTGTTCTCATGTTTCCTGAAGGTGACACTTATGTCTGTCTTATTTAGGTGACTTCTGTCTTGGGTTTTCAGGTCTAAAGGTAGAGGTTACGCACTGTGGCCAGATGAAGAGAAAATACCGAGTTTGCAATGTTACTCGACGACCAGCCAGTCATCAGACGTATGTTACAGCCGTTTTTAAACAATCTTTAAGATTGTGAGCCTATTAGAGATTTTTTGGTATATTATATGCAAGAACAGTTTGATTCTAGAGGCAAAACAGCCTTGTGACGTCAAGAGACTGCTTCGTTTTAGTGGAGTAGAGGAATAGAGGGGGTTTAAACCACTGCTTTATTTTCTTCAGCACAGGAAAATTAAAGCTGTGTTCTGACTTTTAAATATAGTTATCACAGGCTATAATTTTTAAGTTGCCTATGGTAAAAGCAGTATATTGTCTATAAAATCTTTTCATAAAGAAGAGATCCAATAACTAAGGAAAGCAAATGTTTTAAACGTTTCTACTCTGGAATACATTTTCCACACTTTTTCCTCTTTAAAAAAAAAAAAAATATCTTGAAAAGCTTAACCAGAACAAATGTCCTTTATAGGTTTCCTCTACAGCTGGAAAATGGGCAGGCTATGGAGTGTACAGTAGCTCAGTATTTTAAGCAGAAGTACAGTCTGCAACTAAAATACCCGCACCTTCCCTGTCTTCAAGTAGGACAGGAACAGAAACACACATACTTACCACTGGAGGTAAGAATCTAACTTTGCTCTTGGGTTGTGATATGCCCATTATTAAAGGGTATCATACCATTTCTAACTCTGTTGCTGTGTAGGTATGTAACATTGTGGCAGGCCAGAGATGTATCAAGAAGCTAACAGACAATCAGACATCCACAATGATAAAAGCAACTGCAAGATCTGCACCAGACCGACAGGAAGAAATCAGCAGACTGGTAAGTTATGGTTTGGATATATGGAAAATAGTTGAAAACTTTTCAGCTGTGTTTTTACAGAAAATTTAAGTTTTGTGTTTCTCCCCATCTAAACAGTCTGCATTTGTCAGTTCATAAGGCTCTTTCAGAAGCATTGTGACATATGTAATGATAAGTCAAAAAAACTTATCAAGAATCGCAGAAGTTAAAAAAAAAAATCTGACTTTGTTAAAAACAAATCCCTTTAAATAGAAAGCCTATTCATTACATAAATGGTAGAGCCACCTGAAACATCATTTTAGTTACATAAGTACTTTTCTTGTTTCCAGGTGAAAAGTAACAGTATGGTTGGTGGACCTGATCCATATCTGAAGGAGTTTGGTATTGTTGTCCATAATGAAATGACAGAGTTAACAGGCAGAGTTTTACCAGCACCAATGTTGCAATATGGAGGCAGAGTGAGTTCTTGATGTCTTGTGAAAATCTGATTTAAATCCGTTAACTGCTGCATAAATCTTATAAGGCTTGCACATGTGTGAGCGCTGTTCTGCTGTAGTCAACACCAAGTAGCATTTTATTTTTAATTTGCCTTTGATTTTTATCTAGAACAAGACTGTGGCTACACCAAACCAAGGTGTGTGGGACATGAGAGGGAAGCAGTTCTATGCTGGCATTGAGATTAAAGTTTGGGCTGTTGCCTGCTTTGCTCCTCAAAAACAATGCAGGGAAGACTTATTAAAGTAAGTATTTTCCTATTTATTGAAGGTATCTGTTTCAGGGTTTATTTTCCTCCATACTTCTGAAAGGTGATGTGCAGTGTATTAGCATAAATTTTAATGTACCCAGCAGTAAAAAGAAGAAACAGTAATTCTGCAACGTCTTAAATATTTACAACTTGGGAGGAGACTATGACAAAGTTTATAACCTAATGCACAAGTTAGGAAAAGGACTGATTTCCTTACCCCTGAGGCTCTTTCCTGCTCTGGAGACTGTATTCTGCTCGTATTCTGCTGTTTTTGCAAATAACTGATGGTGATCTTTCATTGCCAATCCTGAACTATTTGTCTGTCGTCTTAACCTGAACTGCCTCCCAGACAGCGTGCGCCATGTTTCCCATGCCTTTCAAATTACTTTAAAGAATCCCAAAGAACAGAGGCTATTTGAACCACTGAAACGGGCAGCAAAAATCATGGTTGTAATATTGTTTAAATAAGTTTGACTGATGAGCAGAAATTTGCTCGAGCATTAATAAATAATAGCTTGGGATTCAGCCTCAGAATTTTCAACTCCAATGTATGGAAAGCGCAACACTAGCAAAAAGACCAGGTCCAGTATCATTTGCCAAATCCATTTATATTTCATTGACAGGAGTTTTACTGACCAGCTGCGGAAGATCTCCAAGGATGCAGGGATGCCAATCCAAGGACAGCCCTGTTTCTGCAAATATGCCCAAGGAGCAGACAGCGTGGAGCCCATGTTTAAACACTTGAAACTGACTTATGTTGGTCTGCAGCTGATTGTGGTGATTTTGCCTGGAAAGACACCTGTGTATGGTATGGAGTGGAGATTGTAAAGTATTAAGTAGTTGTACAGCAGGTGGGCATCTTATTATGCACTTTACAAGACAGAGCGGACGCTATCTTCAGTTTAAAAGGTGTTTTAGGAGATTTGTTTGTTGTACTTGATGGGTGTACTTGTATGCTACTAAAGAGTGGGCTTTTTGTCACTGAACCTTTAAGGACACTAGTACACCTTTTGGAAAAAATAGAGAGACAGCAGAGGGAACCACTGACCGCTCAGGTAATTGGACCACTGTCTTATTCTTTTGTTATAGCTGAAGTAAAGCGGGTTGGTGACACTCTTCTAGGAATGGCCACTCAGTGTGTTCAGGTAAAGAATGTGGTGAAAACCTCACCACAAACACTGTCCAACCTTTGTCTGAAGATAAATGCAAAGCTTGGAGGAATCAACAATGTGCTTGTACCTCATCAAAGGTGAGAATATATCTAATTCCTTCCTTAAAGGCAAACCAAATGATGTTACTTTGTTTTGCTGGCTAAAATTATACCCTTCAAAATGAGTGGGTTACAAATAGTACATGGACACATAGCCCCAGTCTGAAGTGGGCAGATAAAGATGCTTCCTCATTCATAATCTGCCTGGTAAGCCAGGTACCCGAAGAACACTTCTAGTGTTAAAGCTGTCCAGTGGTATGTGTGAAAACAAGCTGACAAAGGCTTATTTTCCATGTGTCTTTTTTATTATCCTTTCCATACTTGTGAGTTTAATCTGTCTACCATATCCTTAAACACGCTGTTTTTTTTTTTCTTCCAACTGAAAGAAAATAAATGGAGTGACTTGTGATTTATGCTTGTAACTTTGCCTTTGGTCCTTTCCTTTTTGCTCTCTATTCTCTCTGGACTGTAAGAGCTTGAGACAGAGACCTTGCTCCTTAAAGATTCTGGTACAATTTCAGTTCTGTAGAATGGTTTGGATATACCTTCCTTTGTTACAATTTTCTTCCCCCCTCCCTTTTTGTGTGTTTTATTACTTTGTAATAAATCTTAATCACGTTAAACAGGCCCTCGGTGTTCCAGCAGCCAGTGATCTTTTTGGGAGCAGATGTCACTCACCCTCCTGCTGGTGATGGAAAGAAGCCTTCCATAGCTGCTGTAGTAGGCAGCATGGATGGCCATCCTAGCCGTTACTGTGCTACAGTGCGTGTGCAAACCTCCCGGCAGGAGACCTCCCAGGAATTACTGTACAGTCAGGAGGTGATACAGGACCTGACTAACATGGTGCGAGAACTATTGATCCAGTTCTACAAATCCACTCGTTTCAAGCCTACAAGGATCATTTACTACAGAGGGGGAGTATCAGAAGGGCAGATGAAGCAGGTACTGTCTAATGATTTCTCTTTGCTTGCAAATGGGGGTCAGCCCTTCAAAATCTCTATGTGGATTACGTTCCTTTAAGGAGACAACTTGCAGTTTCATAGGGCGTTCTTGGGGAAGCACAGGCTACGGTTATAATGTTTCTAATTGTGTTCTTTATAAAGTGGCGTTTGCTCATGAAAAGAATGAGAATAGTATTGTACATACCAAATTCAGCACCTAATACTTAAATCTTCTACTTCTAGGTAGCTTGGCCAGAACTTATAGCAATCCGGAAGGCCTGTATTAGTTTGGAAGAAGATTATAGACCAGGAATAACTTACATTGTTGTGCAGAAAAGGCATCACACCAGACTGTTCTGTGCTGACAAAACTGAAAGGGCAAGTAGTGTTGGGTATATGAACAAAAAGATAAAGGCAATGGGAAAGTAGATGGTTTGGTTAGCTGGGGTAGTATCCACCTAACACACTGGAACAGAATTAATCTGTGCAAATAGTAGTAATTTTGTGCAGGGGACAGGCTTTCTCTACAAGACCAAAATAGTGTTGACAAATCCCCCCGCCCCCCGGCTTTTTTTTTTTTTTTTTTTTAATTTCTCTAAATCAGTCAGATGGAGCTGTTTGTTCCCAGCTGCTCTTGGAGTAAGCATACTATATATCTCTCTCTTTCTGTATCTGGATCTGTAGTCTGCGTTTTTATAGCTTGGGATTCCTGACACACTCTAGTCATTCAGTTAGTTGCTTGATTTGTCTCTAGATGCATCTGTGAGATTTGCCTGTGTCACAAATCTGTAAGACAGCTAAGGAACCTTTTTTAAGAAAGTTCTTGATCTCAGGTTTTCCTGAAAATATAGATCTCTGAGGAGTGAGTGCAAACAAGGGTGTGAAATGAATTCATTTTAGACCACTTGCATTTTCTGTTCCTGAATTACTACTGTAGGCTTTATCCCACTCTGCAATTCTAATGGTACTGGCAAAATAATTTTATCTCCCCTCTGATTATGCACCAACTGGATTTGTTAAGTTTCTAAAAATGAACTCTCAGAGAACGCGTTCATCCCTCCTATGTAAAGGACCTTTGTTTTCCTGCCTTTTTGAGTAATAAATCTTCCAATAGCTTAAAGTAAAAGCCTACCTTAGGAGGAATTTTGGAGTCACTTCAAAAAAAAAAAAAAAAAAAAGACTAACTATAAGCTTTTCTCACATAGGTGGGTAAAAGTGGCAATGTACCTGCAGGCACTACTGTGGACAGCACGATAACGCATCCTTCTGAATTTGACTTTTACCTCTGTAGCCACGCAGGAATTCAGGTAATGTTTCAGCTCTGCTGTACTCAGGCTTGGGAGTGAATCCTTACAGTAGTCCTTATGAGTAATGCTGCTTCTATTTATAATTTGGCAGACTAAAAATTGCATCAGTTTTGTGCTAGTTTGGCACTGTACTCTTCAGTACACTGATAGAAGACTTAACCTTTAGATACCACTGCTCTGTTTTTGTTGATGCAATCCAGCTGAACGCTCATCTGTTCTCCACAGGGAACCAGCCGGCCCTCACACTATCAGGTCCTGTGGGATGACAACTGTTTTACTGCAGATGAGCTACAGCTGTTGACGTATCAGCTGTGTCACACGTATGTCCGGTGTACGCGATCAGTCTCTATTCCAGCTCCCGCTTACTATGCTAGGCTGGTAGCATTTAGGGCCAGATACCATCTTGTGGACAAGGATCATGACAGGTGAGGAACTGTAACTCATTGTTGTCTTGGTAGCTAGATAACAGACTTCAGTGAAATGCTGCTTGGCCCAGTTGTTCATGGTTGTCCGTATATATCTTCCTTTTTGCAGTGCTGAAGGCAGCCATGTGTCAGGACAGAGCAATGGCCGTGATCCTCAGGCTCTGGCTAAGGCAGTACAGATCCACCATGATACTCAACATACGATGTATTTTGCTTGAGAGCTTCTGGGAAGATGAGGCAAAACCTACAACCCATGCAGTCCTGAAATGTTTTGAATGCCTACTGCTATAGTTAGGGCCCAGTTTATTTCAAACTGCCCACTACCAGCAGCTCTGAACAGTCGCACTGAATCTGTACTTCACAGCAATGTCTGATGCACCAACACAATTGAGCCATTTGTTTCATTATTTTACGTAACAGAAATTCATAGACTGTCTTTTCTGATGCATTGGACTGAATTTTTACCTCAAAGCGCAAAAGGCCGATCATCCTGAAATTTTTAAAGGACTTGGCACGAAAGGTTTCTATTGAATATTTTGCTAGCTATGGTTTTTAAGTTATCTTCTCATCCCGTTTATCATGATGACTGATTCCCTGTCTTCATGCACTGCTTAGTGAGTATGCATATTATGGCAAAATGTTTTACTCCAGTTAAATGTAATTGTTCTATTGTGTGGGGCCATAGATTTTTTAATGGAGATTTTAGATTTCACTACTGTAAATGCCTTTTAACAAACATAACTTTCACAGGTATTGCAGTTTTTTGTCAGTTTTACTAATTATCTTTTTAATCTCTGCAGACTTTGGCTGCAAAGCAATTGCACTATACTGCGAGTTCAACTAGGTGGTTCTTGTTCTGTGAATGTGTAACATAACCAGATAGTGATGCCTGTCAGTAAGTTTTAATTACAATGGTTACAAATAATACTGCCATGGTATCGTAACAAGTACTGAACCATCATTTCCCCCTCTAAAAATGATTTAAAAAAAAAAAAATTAGCTTTTAGATATTTTGCAAACTTTTACAAAAAGTGCCCACTTTATGCTGCTGTGTGGTTTGATAAATCGAAGTGATTTTAAAACTTTTTTCTCATAGAAGGTTTAACTTTGGCAATAAATATTTGTTTTTTAAGCCCCCCCCAACAGTGTAATTTTCTAGCTGAGGATTGTGCATGAGTTTAACCAACATTCTCGTGTCGTTTTCTGAACACACAATTTGGCAGTTTCTGAAACTAATTAGAAAAGACGCACTTCCATGCTTTTTTTTAAGAATTATTTTTAACTGTTTTATATTCACTGTTGGTGTCCTGTCTACAACTTTTTTTATAAGCTTGGAAACTGGGTGTTATATGTAGGAAAGGCTTGCCAATCTGTACAGTCTACATGTATTGTGTGATAGGCAACCTAAAGACTTGTACCAGCATTTTAAACTTTTTTCCCTGGGAATCTAGGTTGCACACACAACTGCATTCAACAGCATGTTTAACCAATGTCAGTCTAATATACTGATTCTGTCCCAGCCTAGAAATTAGGTTTTTTAAATCTGCTTGGCTTTTTTCTGCTGCAATGTGTAATAAAGAAGAGGGGCTTGGTTTCACCGAATACTTTTGAAATCCACGGACATAGTACATTATGACTAGATTCCTTTTAGCGTTAACATGAGTTAGCACAGATTAAAAGCTTATTCCTAAACTGAGTATAGCTAACACCATTACTTTGGTAACAAAAGTGTGAGAAGTCCAACGATTGCACTGTGGTCTCTGATACTAGTGTGGGGTTTGCTGCTAAGTTGTCTGCTGTTCCAAAGCTTAGGAACCAGCCCCCTCAAAATTTCAGCAATATGAAATGCTGTTTCCTTCAGTCTTTAAGCTTGTAAATAAATTAAAGTTTACATTTCTAAATGCTGTTTTTCAGTTGTACCAGAGTACACTGAACTTAGTCTTCAAGCAGTTTTATAACCTTCTTTCAAGTAGTATGTCTCATTAAATTAAGTTTAAACTTTTTTTTCTTTTCTGTTGAAAATGGGACTGAAGCAAACTTTGCTCCTGGCACGTATTGTGGACAGGTTTAGATTGAAAACAAAATTCTTTTTAGTTTTTTTAATTTTTTTTAAAGAATACCTCACTTGTGTAATAAAATCAGGACATGTGGGTGGGAGACTGACCGCTGCTTCAGCTAGATGGCTGCTTTTCTCAGTACTCATTCAGGGAGAATACAAAAAACCCCTTTTCAGAATGAACTCCGACTGACCCAACGTATATGGAGAACTTTGGCACCTTTAAGAGAAATTGAGCACCCTTCTTAGATTATAGAATCAAAGATCATTGCTTGGGTTTGTGCACTAGGCAAGAATGTAACTGGTTTAATCAAGGGTGCATAAGAAATACTTAGTTGTATCACCAGTTAGTTGTCCAGTGCCAAGCACTCCTAGTTCAGATTGAGTGACGTGAGAGCCTCTCCTTCGTTTGCCTGTGATTGGACTGAATATTTGACCTCAGACTATACAGATTGTTAGACCTCAGCTAGCCCCGGGAAGCAGGGCGAGAAATTTAACTCAATCTTCACGTTAGAACGTTGTTGTAATGAAACACTGGTAAGGGTGCTGTGCTGTCACTTTGAGAGGAGAAGAGCATTAAGGTTAGGACTGTTGCTTGGTGGTAACTACGATCAAAGTTTCAGCAATACTGTTGTACGCAGGTCTGAAAGCCGAGTCTAGAGGTTGAGCCTGACGATCTGAATTAACCCCTTGGGACTGACTGAATCGTTATGCATGTGTCAATCAATGGGAAGATGTGCATTCTGTAGATGTAGTTCTTAGGGTGGTTTTTTTTGTTTTTGTTTTTTAATAAATAAAGCCTGTTGGCCACTGTTTAGCTATGTGGTGTGAAAGATTTTAAATGTAGCAAAGTTTTTAAAGAGTTGGGGAGGGCGTGGTTGACATTTCAAAAACAACAACAACAACAAAAATAGCAGAAACCCCGTTTTCAAACCAGTTCTGCTTGCTTTGTGAACAGCTGAATTCTGAACAAGCTCTGGAAATCACTAGTTAGCCTGTCACAAACGTTTGGACAGCCTGGCTTATTTATTCTTATTGTAAGTACTACAGTTCAGTTTAATGCCTGGAGAAGCATCCAAAGGGCATACAGGGTTGTGATATACAGGCAAACATGCTTCATGCAGTACATTATCTCGTTCCAGACACAAGTGTCAGAGCTCATTTACCTATATCACAAGCTTTGCTCTTCAAATGGGTAAAGGCAGCTTTTGTTCAGATACGGTGTTTGACAGAATCCACCCCCCCGCCCCAACCTACCTTCGTGGATGTGCTGTAGGATTTTTCTTGCTCAATAGCAAGGGAGTAACTCTGCTTTCATTTTAAGAAAGCAGAGTTTGGAGGGCATTGTATCAATACTGTTTCAACTACAAGGTTTTTTCCTTGTGAATTTGAGGAAAGATCTTGTAATATCACTTACAGATTTTCATATACCTTGCTATTGACATTTTCATATTTCTATGTCTAGAAGCTGAAACTTCAATGTAAAATGTTTGCATTTGTTCATTTTGACTTATGATGTAATTTTTGTTTCTATATTGTTAGACTTGTAATGTTTAAAATTGTATTTTATTAAATTTGGACTGGATGTATGTCTATAGCAATACGAGGTACTCTTTCTAAACTGTTATGGGTGGGTTAGCAGCCCCACGTTGCGATAAGATGCTGGTCGTGTACAATTTGCAATGTATTTTTTTTAGCCTGCAGGGATATTTTGTGTTCATGTGTCCAAAAATAAAAAAAAAATGGCATTATTGTGCCAAATGTTGTTTTTCCTTGTTGATGTCTAATAAATGCAATGTACAGAGTGAGCAACTGATACTGTTGCCTGTAAACAAATGTCTTTCTTAAATTATTTAACTTTTAATTAAAACTCGTACACGATGTGTAACCTGTGGAACTCATTGCCACAAGATATTTATTTCTGATATGCTAGGACTTAGAAAGCAATAGAAATATACATGGATGACATCTTCAGTGACACTCGGAGGACTTAAAACTGCCTGTTTTCAGAGCCTGTGCTAACCACATAGAGATATGTTCACAATGGGCTTATTTTTTTAATGTTCCCAGAAATTATATAGCAATGTCTTGAGAAAATATGGTGTCAATAGACTGTATCTACCTGGAGTAGTGATTCTATATTAGAAAGTCAGAAACTAGTAAATGAAAGAGCTGTATGTTTATTCATCCTCTGAATTTCAGGTGAGGGTTCGTTTCCTCTTTTGTACGGCTATCTCCCTAAAAATACAGGATAAGGACAAAAAAGCTTTCGGACGAGGATAAAACATGCAAGCTACAAATGAGCTCAGGACACATGATTGCTTAAAATAACCTGCATCTTTAGCAAATCAGTACTTTTGGGTTTTAATATTTTTTTTGCAGTAGAAATCCTGTGGGTTTGGGAATTGAGATTATTCAGCTTCAGGCAAGCTTAAGTAGTTCAGAAGCAAAAGCTAACTTTGATGCCAGTGCCTTTCCAAAATGATTCAAAGGGGAAGATCACTTGGATCAAACTGAAGAACCCTGGGGCTGCTCATGTTTTGGAGCTCCAAAGTACTTTAAAGTAAACATGTGCCTTAACCTGGAAGGAAACTCATCAGGGAATTGTCCAGCAGCCTAGAGAATGGATAATTAAAAGGCTGAGGGGCATTGGGTAGCAGAGGCTGCCTGCTCAACAGGGTAAAGGGCTTTTAGGCCTTTAGAGAGCATAACTGAAAGCAGCAATGTGGGAGGAAGGAGAAGAGAGGGGTGAGGAACTTGTTCCAGGGTTTGTCAGGTTCAGTAAAGCAACTTCACGGACAACCGACTTAACTGTTCGGCACGGTATCTTAACTAACGGTATTTTGATTCATGGTGTATCTTGATGTGTGTTCTGCTTCAGGACAGCAATTCTGCTCTCATAGTCTATACATCTCGTAGCGTGAACTGCATGCGAGCGCCATGTTGCGTTCCGCTCCACCGCAGGATCTGTGGATTCCACTATTTGGTGAGACCTGGTCTCAAATACACAGTTGAACATGGGTTGCTTCTGGCCCAGGCTTTTCCATCTCGTTTTGCTTGCTTTTAGGTGCAACAATACCACGAGAGGGGGCTCCAAACACGGTGCTCACCGGGCTGGAGACAACCGGGCACCCAACCCTGATCTTTTGCCAGCAAGGCTCTGGACAGAGAACCCTTAAAAGTAAATAAAAATTGAACACATCTCCTGCTGTTTTCTCCCCAATCTGGCAAGGAAAAAAAAAAAAAAGCCTCAAAGAAACCAAACCAAAAAAGCTCAGCTGTAAAAGGCATCTCATCATAAACCCCCAAGGGAACTGTGACCATCTCAGCTCCTGTGAGCTGACAACACAGCAGGACATCAGTTATTAAAGCATTCATTTTGTTAATTGGTGGCTCTATAACTGAAGGCCGCCCGAGGAAAGCTCTCCGAGGCGTCCTGCTTCCAGCGCGGCCGCTCTCGTCCCCTCCTGGGGACGCGACGAAGCTGCGGCGCCCGCGCTCACGGTTTCACTGAGGCCCCCCTGCCGCCTTCTCCGCGGTACATGCTGCGAGCGCGCTGGTCTGGAGGAAGGGGGGAGACAGAGGGGGAAGGAGGTGGGAAGCCTCGGGGCCTTTCTCCTGGCCGAGCCGGTGAGCGGCGACGGTTTCTATCGCGTTGTCCCCGACGAGCCTGGAAACCTCGTGCTGCCCTCGAGTCCTCCGACGCTGGGCG